ATATTTAAATATAATATTTAAAAAACTTAGCATTTTAATCAAAATTAACCAAGGTTTAAATTTTCTCTAACATAAATTTGAAATAAAATTTGTTTTCTGATTTACGATATTTATTACCTTTAAATCAAATACTTTTCTCTAAATGTGCAGATAAAGATAATTAAGATAAAGAGAAATTAACTAAAGAAAAAAATCTCGAAACTGTTTGCCGATACAATTGGCGTCATAAACTGTAATAACAGTAGTTTGAGTTAATTATCTACAATTTAAAAAAAAAAATAATGTAGCCATACTTGATCAAATGGTAGCCGTAAACCGTTAAAGATGCTAATCTTTTTTTTTCTAGTAGTTCGACGCGAAGTAAAAACAGCGTGAGTTACGAATAACGTTCGATGCAGTAAAACTTAAGATAAATTATATGAGCCACGTTTTCCTATATTATACAATATCCACGATGTAAGAGCGGATTATGTAAACGAATATATCGGGCTATGTATACATGCGAGCGGCATCATGCAGTACGGGATATGTAGATACACGTATGCACGTAAGAACTTCGCCATAACGGCTCCAAGGACTCATAAAATGGCCTAGACCATTCGCAGCTATGTACATTCCAGATCGTCGTGGGACTATCCTCTTAGCCTGCTTGGGCGCGGTTGTTTACGCTGCCTTACTACCAGCTACCATCGTATTAATCGCGATTATTGTGGATAACCCTGCGCGGTCGCCAGGACTGTTAAAGAGAGTGCCGATCATGAAAGCTAAGTGGAACATGTAGTTCAAGATCAGCTACCGCGCGAACGCGCTTCGCGAGAAATGCTGGTGTACAATATACGCGAACTGATTTATATCTGCCTTAACTTTACGAGTGTAACACTTTTATATATATTACGCGCACGTTACACGTGTTATTCGCAATTTACATGTTTTTCTTCTTTTTTATTAGCTCTGACATCTAGAATAAAGCGGATTGCAAGAATGTCAAATTTTTTTACAGTATTGCTCATCATGTTTGAGTTTTTCTACGTACAATTCATTATTTTGACGATTCAACGAAATTATTTTCAGATCTGTATCTACCAACATTTTTTAATATTTTAACAAAATTTGTTTTCCGTATAAACTCCTCGCTAAATTTGAAATAAATCGATGATAAATTAATGATTTTAAACGTTTTTTTTTTTTACATAATAATTTATTCTCTCGGATTTTAAACAATGGCGCCACAATTCCCAAGAGAAAGAAAGGTCGATTGGAATCGGGAAACGACACGTGTCGTGTCGTCTCGATGAAACCGAGCGTAATTACGCGAGACATGAATCATCTCATAATGCTGAAAATTGCATAGGAATCATTTTAAGTGGATGCTTCGCGAAACCTATTCATCGATGTTTCATCTGACACGCCCTTCGGCGATTCATCTATACGAATCGTATGCGCAAACACATCACACTCGTGATTTCTGCAACTTTTATGTCTGTTCGGTGTAGGTGCTATATTTGTGCATACAGAATAAGCATACAAAATACCCTGCAATTATCATGTGAGACTTCAACAGCATATTTTAGAAATTAGAGTCGAAGATCCTTGTACAATAAATATGGAAGTCGCAATTACCGTCGAGTGATCAAAGTTGGCGAATAATATCGCGTAGAGTTCGTGTGTTTAAGTTTAAAATTGCAATCATTAAGCTGGTAAGCGAGCGCGAACAAACACGAATGAGCAACGTGTTTCGATGAGCAACGACACCGGTCGCAATTATCGAAGCGAGTTGTTTACAGAAGATTAGAATCAACTTTATGTAATACATTTCTAGATATCAATCTGTTTTTCACCTACTGATTACTTATTGATTCTTAATTCAGTTAATAAAAAAATTCAGTTAATAAGAATTAAAGCAATTGATTTATATTATTAATTTTAATTTCTTAATTGCATAATTGTATAAAAATAGGCTTTAAATTACTAAAATTTGAATATATAAAAGAAATCTCAAAAAGATCAATTTCAAATTATTACTCTGATTTACGAGATTTTCTTTAAAGTTATGAATATTATTTCGAAAGTAGATAGTAGAAGGTAATAAATAATTACTTGTTTGGAATATTAAAAGCATTATTGTTTAGTGCTTTCAATACTCGAAGTAATTCTTAGTTTCTGTTAAATTGGCTACTACTAAATTGGATTTCTGTAAGATTTAACCTACTTAACTTAACATAAACTTAACTTAACATAACCTACTCTCTTGCAAAAAATCATTCTATCATCACTTTCATTGAAAAACTTAGATGTTTTGAAAACATATTCTTTCATTATAATTTATAATGAAGAGTTGGCTGAGAGAGAACGAATAAATAAAACATCTTTGCTAGATTTTCCTTATAAAAATTTAAAAAGAAGACGATGATTAATTACTTGTTTTAAGTATTAAAAGCATTATTATGTTTGATATTCAAAATAATAATAATTTCCAGTAGTATTACATTAATTAATAACTGGATTACGGTAAGAGTTAGAAATAACTTAATCGAACTTCTCTTTTGCAAAAATCTATCATCATTTTCACTCACCTCATGATTAATTTCCGAGTTCTCCTGGACTCTCCTCTTCTTCACTCTCGTCCTTCTTCATCCCTCGTTATTCAATCGCGAAAACATAACTGATCACAATCAACCGAAATACGACAATACTTTGCACAATATCATTAATCACTCGCGGCGTGCACTTCACTTGACTTCATTATGCTAGAAAAACAAAACGTGAAAAATACACGATCACGCACAAAGTTATATTCGCTCGACACCCGCGGCATCTTGCAAACTAACGCGATAAATAAACCTTGAATGATAAAGAGTTTTCGCGTCGCCGATGTAGGTACATGAACATCAAATTTACGCACTATGCAGTGTCTTGACAGATATTTAAATATAAAATCACATTCTACTTGCTAATTAAAGTGCGTCGCGACACGCGTGACACTCAGCATCGATCTGAGTATTCGTGACATGTTCCGTTAATAATTCAAAAAATTTGAAAGCCGCGCAATTTCGCTCTACGCGCGATACATTTCAAGTAATGAAGTTGGGTTAATTAAACCGAAAATGTGGCGCAATATCAATAATTCAGTACTACAAGCGCGTAATATACTTCGAGCGCATAAATTCCGCATATTATTGAGGAAAAGTACATATTACTGATAAATCATAGCTTTCCGTTGTTGAAAGCACTGATGTGATTAGTACCTGTATTTTGCATTTTCGACTCGAAATTGGTGAGTAAATGTACAAAATATACAAAAAAGAGGGAAAAAGAAACCGAAACGTGCGACGCGTGATATATTCAAAGAAATAACGATTACACAAATAACTAATGAAGTAATTAAATTTATGAGCTTTTAAGTAAAACCAGATATCTGTTTCAAGAAACAATTATTGCCTTAACAAGTTTACGTCCGAGCTCGAGAATCAATTAATCATAAGAATTGATTAATTACAATATATGATAATAATTTTTTACTTTTATTACATGTAACGAATCTGTTTGTAATTTACCACTCAACAATATAACTGTAATGTTTGCCACTCAACAATATAATATAACACGTATGTTATATTATAGTTCTATTGTTGAATAGGAAATTAAAACTAACAGACATATAATTTTGTGTTTGCTGGGTTTATTCTGGTCGAGGTGTATATAAAGCGACGTTATCTACCCACAAATCTCACATTATAAATGAAGATTAACAAGGTTACTACTCGTCACAATTTCGTTCCGTTGGACAAATAAAAACAAAGAACACCACGCGCGAATCAATATGTCGCTATGAAATAATTAAACGTTTAAACCAAAAAAAAAATTAGAGCGTACATTGAAAAAAAATTATATCTTAAATATTTTTTTTAATAATAACGTCGAGTCTACAATAAAAGTCATAACGCTCGTAAAATCTTAAATAGAAAATTAAATAAATCCAAGATGAAAAGAGTAATCGACTATGATTGATCAATTTTCTACGACTTAAGACCTTACAACTTCTATTGTAGACCCGGCGTTATAATTAAAAAAAATATTTAAGATATAATAATTTTTTTTCAATGTACGCTCTAATTTTTTTTTTTTATTTAAACGTTTAATTATTTCATAGCGATATATTGATTCGCGCGTGGTGTTCTTCGTTTTTATTTGTCCAACGGAACGAAATTGTGACGAGTATATAAAAGTATCATAAATAAATATTTACTGAATGTTAACATATATTTTTATTTGATAAAAGACCCATTAACTTGATTTAATTATTATTTTTTTCATTAATTCAGGTAAATATTTATTTACTGTAAGTAAATATTTGCTTACAAGTATTCAAACAAATATTTATTAAGGTATAGTAAATTTTTTTTAGTGTAGACTGCGCGACTCCACAAAACCGATCGATAAAAACTGGATAGACAGGACGTGAAGACAGTCTCTATCCTTGTCTATTAAGTAATGATAAAGCACGAAACATTTATCTTAGTAATAAACAATCGAATAATCGTCTTAATTTCTGTTATAAAGATGCATCGATTTCTTCTCCCATCGGTATGACTTAAATGGACATCGCAGATGCAAGTATTCAAGAATAAATCATACTAAAACTTCTGCTTATTCATCATTACCGTGAATTAAATTATCAAATACTTAACGTGTTGTTTATTTAAATCTTATTGCGAAGAATAAATCTATTATTTTTATTTTAAGCGATTTCTACACTTTGCCGATCCGGTACCACTCTTTTCTATTTGTAGTTCCAAAAATAAATCTTTAATGTTTACAAAGTTGCAAAGAGCAAACGTGAGCATCGATAGACAATGGGCCTCATTGAGAGGAGTCGGCGAATGACTCTTGTCAACGTGAGAGCCTCAAGTTGTCGCAATCGTCCTACTGGCCCTCGACCTATCATCCTGTCTGTCGTCATTATTTGGCGATCCTATGTTTCTGTTTGCCCCCTAATTTATTTACCCTTAATTCTCTTCCATTCCCCTCAATCTAATAGTAGTACGCTTTTCGCGAAATTTCTTATTGTCTTTTGCTGTCATGGACACAGAAGGAATTTTTAGACAACAAAAAGTTTTTGCCATTTATCCTCATAAATTTTCTTAACTCTTATCGATATCCGTAGTTTTCAAGTTGACCTATTTAAAGGGGAAACCCAGAGTTTCGACCTTTTAATGCGATAGAACAAAGTCATTCGTCTTCTTATTCTCGTCCTCGGCTACTTCCACCTACTCCCACGACAATCTGTCTAAGTAACAACGACGAACCAACGACACGAACGAGGTGTGCGCGAATCCCCCACCTTTTTCGCTACGGATGACCTCCTCGTGGTCGCGTTCGAACAGCTTCGCAGGGATAAATGTACACTTGGCGTCGTCCACGAGGCTTTTAGCGTCGGCAGAACAAGACCGTCGCTCGTGTTAGTCGTGCTCGATTGGTGGAACGGAATTTCGTACGACGACGAGGAGTTTTGTTGCGTGTACCCTATCGATTATTAGTAAATGATCATTGTCGAGGATTGAAAGGATTTTCAACTTTCATAAAGTTCGCCTTCAGTGGAACCGGCGGGATGTTGGACCGCGTCAGCAGCAGCTTCGTAAGTCTTCGTCGAAGCTGATGGGGTGGCTATCTTCTGCAGTGATTTTAACGCTAGAAGGATGAAAATCGTTCATTATTTTTACGAGTATCGCAAATTGCGTGGTCTTCATTTACATCGTAATTCTATTCAGTGAAACATTGCAAAATTTGAAAACTATTAAAAATTAAGTGAGCTACGATTAACTAAGAGAAGACACTGCATCTGTCGAAATAATAAGTGCGCTCCTTCTAGTGTTAAACATCGTGAATGTCTCCAATGTACAAATGTGTTTAACAAATTAAATTAGCAATTTAAATAGCGAGAGAAGTTAAACATCTGAAAGAGTGTTAAAACTGTGTGTGTCAATATTTTTCATACAGTAATATTCCGGATATATCAAGATGTTCAGGTATTAGTCATATAAAAACAAGTAATTTATTCTTGAATCATTCTTTTATAAGAAAGACTTTTTTTCGCCTAATAGTTGTTTGTATAATTAATATTGAATCATCTCGATAATTCTTCTTATCCAATATTTCTATTCCAATATTTATAATTGTCAGTAATTATAATATAGATTCGAAATGATTATTTTGGTTATACAAGATGTAATACCGAGACACTACGGTGTCCCGATATAATGAAAATAATATGTGGAATCTATCCAAGAGGAGGAAGGGGGATATTGTTTACATATTGTATCCGAATGAATTTATTTTTTTATTGTTTCAGTGTTGAAATTATTTCCCAAATAGTTTCATATATTATGTAACACCCTGTAATTTTCAAATTAATACGACGGATTTTGTATAAGAAAAATCGTTTAAAAATAGAGGCAAGGTTTCTTGGCATTTATGAATCATCTCCATTCGTTAGATCATAATGTACGATATTATCATATAACAATTACATGTAACGATGACCTCGTTTGTACGATCAAGTACGCTTAGATTATTTTCTATAAATCTACGTGACATCTCATTATTGATTGTTATAGTTACAATATTATATTGTTAATTTACAAAGAATATTATTAAAACACGCTTATTTTAACAGAAGCAATTACTTTAGTCAAAATACCGTAAAATACAAAATCTCACGCAGTTGCACATTAAAAAATAGAAAAGATATTCTTCAATAAGCACAATTGTATCAAACCAAGGTCATCGCATCTCGATCAACCACAGGTGACCTACTACTGTGCATAAGCAGATACCTTTCATGCTGAGAGGAAGTACGTAACGCGAAGACGTAACACGTGACCGTGAGACCAACAAATGAATTGCGCGTAAATGCTCTGCTCATAATATCATGACATGATTTAGAGAAACAATGAAATTTCTATATTAACTTGTAAGAGAGTCAGAGGTCCCATAATAATAATCTACGTGTGATAATTTTTGGCACGATAATCCCACTTACTCGAAGACTCCATCACTTCATGAATTAACTGTAATTATTTTTTGCGAAAGAAAGCTAAACTCATTAAGGGAGACCAGAGACGAAAGTAACACAGTCGGTTGAATTTATATCGTGCATTTAAGCTATGGTCTTCAAATTCGACTTAAATTATTTAGGCCTTTTGCTAGAAGTTGAGAGATGATCCAATCTGACTTTAAGTTAAGCTTTTTTGATATCCTTACTTGAAATTGGCCACCTATAATTCTGAAGTATATTCGCACTAATTAATTACTTACAACTATCATTATTAACCATTTGTTCATCTGAACAAATTGTTTTGGATATACTGGCAGTGTTACATTTTTTTCTGCTATTTTAAACTCTAATCTATCCCTACTCCGCGTATACGTTGCTATATATTTTACTTGATGCAAAATCTTAGAATATTTTTATATTGATATCACATCAACAGCTTTATCGATATTATCTTTTTTTTTATGTCAATAATTTATGAGTAAATAAAGTGCATTTTACAATATAAAAATTATTTAAGATTTTATTTTTGCATTATAGTTCGGTGATAGTTGTAAAAAATAACGTTGTAAGGAAAGTATGGAAATTCGTAAAGTTAATAGTGATGATTTATTACCGAAGGTCATTATCCAGTCTAGGTCATTTGTTTCTTTGACAACTACACCACATTTTCTGTTTGATCGATATATTGCTAAAAAGCTCGAAAATGTATACCTTCTAATTCATATATCAAGAAATAGAAAAATGTGATCAATATATGTATTATTATGTGACTAATCTATATTTCAAACGACCAGCCGAAGGGGAGACATGAGACATATGAGCGAAATTTAAGTGTACTCTCATGGAAATAAAATAAATTGACACACGCATGCGGCCAAGTTCATCAACCTTATCGACCGTACTCCATTTACCGAAATATCAGAAAGTGTGCCAAGTATCGAACAACACATAAATTAAATACGCTCTAAAAGTGAAAATTAATATAAAATTAATATAAAATTAGATTTAAATTTTGTGAAAATTGTATTCGAAGTAATAAATGCTATTTTAGAAAAAAAATATTTTTTTGAAAAAAGGTAACAGGAAACTACTCAGGTTATGTATTCGCTTCTCAGCATATGTATTAAAATCTAAAACAAAAAGTTGTCTTTGCTCTCAAAACAACCCTTTAATGGACAAATCAAATAATCACAAACCTATACTCTCTCTAAAATGTTTGTCAAAGAGGTTCATTGAAGAAGAAGATATTTTATACTGTGTGCATTGATTATTCGTAGTTGAATACTTTATTACTTAATCGGAAATAATTAATAATAAGATTACGATTTAAATCTATCATGTTATATTTTTAGTATGAGTAGATTACACAAGCGTTTTTGTGTGTGTATTTGTTTAAAATAAAGGTGGGAAATCTGTACAAAACTATATTATAACAAATGTTTTTTTATTTAGGTAAGATGGACAGTGCTTTTATTCTGCCTATTATCGGCAGTTTCCAGTCAATTGGACCTACCGCCTTACAGAGACGAAGATGCTGCCCGACAACTACCACCTAATGAAATAAATTACCAGAACATCCTAGCTAGATTAGATTTCTTAGGCGCAGAGAGATGTAGCGCTAATGTGATAGCTCAATGGGCATACGAAACTAATGTCAACGAATACACGCAGTTACAAGCGGTAAAGTATCACTAAATTTAAACTCTATTTTAAAGAAGAATGTTTTAATTTTACTAAATAAGAATTTTGATATATGATTTTTATATGATATTTTATCTTATACACTAAATAAATTTTTATAAATATTTTTTATCTAAAAATATTTTGTCACAATATTTTAATTCATTAAACAGATTCGAAATTTTCTCGTTAACCAAACTGACAATTTCGAAACTTTAAAACGCACAACCCGCATGGCCTATCCCTCTATTTGCAATTTAGGCTATCTTATGAAATACGATGTTTTCGCAGGAACGTGTCGGTGATACAGCAAATTCACGAGTATCGGAAAAATTTCGTTTTACTTATAATCTAACTGGTAATAATATCTTAGAAATAAGATTTAATTAAAATTAAAATAAAAGAACAATACTTAATCGAAAAATAGCAGAAACTGACTTTATTATAATCCATGTGAAATTAAAAATTAAAGCTCAGAAGTATACAGATATATCTTTCAAACATCACAATAAAAAATCTTTTACGCATATCGGTGCGGTAATTATTGTTGAAATTAAAAAAATATTAGATAAAGAGATTAAAGAAACTACCGAAGAAAATGTGAAGACGCAATTCTAAAGGCAATAATTTAGAAAGGCGGGGTTTTTCCAACGTTATAACAAAGTGCAGCGACAACCGTGGAAAACGAGTCACGTACAATCGTATATTTCTCATCCACCCTGTACGAAACGTCTTCAAGGAGACCTCGACCTCCTCTCGGTATCTTCCCGCGAGACTCTTCATGGCATTCGCACACATTGACTTGTCAATCGGCTGACAAACCGCCTGTGCACCGACGTTACCTCGCTGCCGACGATTTTCCCTGGCAGGAGACGTGCTCGCATTGTCCACGAAAGGCCGAACGCCTCCGCGGGAAATCTTCCCAGGCGATGGCATTGTCGTGATAATCATCCTGAACGATTGTGCAATACGGTTAGCCGCCCCGTATCGCCGGGAAACAGGAGTTTTGTACTTTTCAATTCAAAACCTAGTGAGACTCGCATCGCGTGATGTTAATGATAATTAAAGCGATCACCGTTTCCCTTTTTTCACGGAGAATGTCGACGTACATTGAACCATCGCCTCGTCTCATTATTGCATGGGAGCTCTACATGAATCGATGAAAAAGAAACTGGATTAGACCTATACAAACTTGAATATTTATCTAATTTAAATTTAACTTCTATCCCCTTCAAAGTAGTTTCCTTCTACATTTAAACAGTGATATAATACCTCTCTATAAATTTTTTATCTAAATAGCACTTATTTAAGTACTTATGCGATCGGCCTAGATGTCTTTGACCGTATTGAAAAATTAGATAAATATTCAAAATTCTATAGTCTGACTCAATTTCTTTTTAATTCATTTATATATTAATCTTTAAAAGGCCGGAGTTTATTTTTTAAATTTTATAGCTTTTCCTTGAATGAGATTTATTATAATTTATTATTTCATTGTATTTTTTGCTTCAAAATACGACACTGTTTCAGCATCATTATAGTGACTTTTCCGTTCTATAAAGATTAATGATTAGTCATCGAAATTATTTATGAGTCAATTGATTTTTGTATTAGTAACAAATAATTATAAAGTAGTTAATTACACACACACACACACACACACACACACACACACAAAACACACACACACACACACGAATATATATATATATATATATATTTTTTTTTAATTCTTTGAACACATGAGCTGTAATAATCTTTCAGTAATCAGATTACAAAAGTTATGTTACATATATTATATGCCTTGATTTGATTCTTAATGCATGTTATCATTGTACGTGGAAATATACCACATAACTGGAATTTACATTTGCGTATTATCCGGATATGTCATGCGGTTTTTTTCATATAATGATAAATGTATGATACGTAAATATATTCTACACAGCACAGTTTATCTGAGGGACGTCCAGGGATCGTCCTAGAGACGTAGATGTTTTCTGAACATCTTTAGAACATCTCTTGTAAATCTGCGCTGTATGAGTTATTATAAGTTTCAATATACATAAATATTATTATAAATTTGAAGTTATCTATATAAACATAACACATTGTGCGATAACTGCATAATTAAACTTTAATAAATAAAGATTACATTTAAATATACAAGTTCTCAAATACAATTTCACTTTCTTAGCCACTTTTCTTTGAATGCAGGTTACTGTCAGGAAAAGCATAGATAGGAGGTTTTATCTCTAACGGTAAAACCGTCGCGTCGTGTTTCGCCTATTCGTGTTTGACTGCAACTGCGTTTCTTAATCAGTCGCCGAGAGATTAGAGTCTCTTGCGTCATGTAGTTAACATGTTACGTTAATTAATACAATTGCACATGTTACATTAATTAAAGCAATTTCACAATTAATATAATTAAAAATTCAATACAAGATAATACGTAACGTAATTTTTGTTATTTGAAAATAATTAGAACGACTTATCTATCTCTCCGTCAGCGCAATAAAAAAAAACATTTGTTTCGTTTCACATGAGAATTGCCTTCAATATTTTGCTTTACGCTTTCAGCTGGATGCCCAACGCTTATATGCGGATTTCCAATACCAAGCGTGGCTTTTACTCTCGAGAATTGACATAAATTCTATTCGAGACCCCATCATCAGGCGACGACTCCGTTATTTGTCCGTGGTGGGTCCTTCGGCACTACCACCTGATCAACTAGACAGGGTAAATGCTTTGTTTATACAAACAATTAAACCATTTAACAGATAATATGCGTGACGGTAAATATAGTAGTAATAAAATTATGACAGTTTTAGCAATAATGACATTATTCTTTTTATGTACAGTACAATCGCTTAATCAACGACATGCTCGCGATTTATAACGCGGCGACCATATGCGCTTACAACGATCCGTTCCGGTGTGGACTGCGTTTATATCCAGGTAATACATCACGAATTACGCTGAATAACGTACGATCAGATCGGTACGATGCCGTCGCGTCGGCATCGTTCACGGTTCGTCGCGGCGAAATTCCACGGATTTACGTAAGTCCAAAATGCGCATGAAAGTGTGAAGAAAATAGGATACGTCACGCGAGCGCGCGTATGCCTCCCGAGTGGAAAGGAAGATCCCTCTTCTTCTTTTCCGTTAATTTATGAGAACCTCTGCGCCGCGCTGTATGCGCTTCTAATTGTCTGTTATTTTTATGTTTAATGTAAATCCCCGTACACGCCCATTTAGAACGCAAAACGTACACAATCCAAAGCATCACAGAACATGCACAAATAGAAAGCAAACAATTAATTAATTGAGCGAAGACACTACGCAGTTATAGTATAGTTTAATAACTAAGAACATAAATTACTCGTTCGTGTTTAACGTGTGCCACGAAATCGAGCTCTGAAAATGAAGGAATTCAATTTACGCGAATAAATGAAGAAATTTATGGTTTATGCCAATAATTTTGAACAAAAACTTACTGTCTCTTTAAGTTTAGTATTTTCATCGCGAATTACGCTGAATAACGATAATTTTTTTTAAAATAAATTTTGTATATATAATATTCTCAAAAATGAGCGAAAAAGAGCTGTTATGCCATTGATAGTTTTCCTAAAATTTGGCTTAAAAAATTTACGTGATTAGCACAAAAGTCATTCATGAGATATTTGATAAATACAAGTGTATCTTGTGCGGATACATAACGATACATGACGCATCTAAAAAGTTATATACTTCCTCACCGCATTATTTTTATTACAGATATATCGCAAATCATGGCGAAAAGTCGGGACTGGGACGAATTGCAGTACGTCTGGACCGAGTGGAGAAGACGAAGTGGCAGACCGATTAGGGATCTATATCATCAACTTATTGCGCTGACCAATGATGCTGCAAGAATGAATAGTACGTCTAATTCTAATTCTATGCCGGAAGTATGACATGTCAAATGGAATCCCCAATGCTAATGAAGTCAATCAGCGTATAATTCCGTTTCATGCAAGATTACAAAAAGATCCTAGTATTGAATCTAGTTTTTATCGTCAGAAATCTTTCACATTTTTAATTTATAGCGAGTGACAAGATTATTTCATTCAAATTAGTTAATAGATATGTATGAAATATATGAAAATACGCGTTATTAAGTTATATTAAAAGTTGCTTCAGGTATTGAGGATTAATGTTACACTCTTATTTCTCTTTTTGTAGACTTTACTGATGCCGCTGAATATTGGATGTTCCCTTACGAATCTCCTAATTTCCAACAAGACATTGATGAAGCTTGGGAAACGATACGTCCGCTTTACGAAGAATTACATGCTTATATTCGCAGAAGGCTGAGAGATCTCTACGGTCCTGAAAAAATTGGCGCACACACGCCACTTCCGTCTCACATTCTCGGTACAAATAACGGCGCGAAATATATTGATTAATATTTTCTAAACATTTTATTCCATAGATATATTGCTAGCAATTAATTACTTACACGGAAAGAACAATTTTGAAGGTCTAAAAATTATACTAGATATAGATCTGAAAATAATTTTTTGTTGGATAATCAAAATAATTATATAGGATGCTCACACACACACATAAGGTGGTTTTTAGAATGTCAAAATTTTTTGCAACATTGCTCATGATACTTAGCATCATAATTATTTTGATGGTCCAACAAAAAATTATTTTCAGATTTATATCTAGCTAATTTTTAGGCAATTTAGAAAACTGTTTTTTTTTTCATATGTATAATTATTCGTTTTTACGTAACTACTATTTTTTTACTCATTACTTATTGTTAGGTAACATATGGGGACAGTCTTGGACCAATCTTTTGGATGTTACATTGCCGTATCCCGGTAAAACGTATCCCGACGTCACGCAGGAAATGCGGGCTCAAGTAAGATTCTCCCCTTTTTCTTTTTTATTTTATAAACAATATATATTGTATAATACAAT